AGACATCTTGTAGCCTAGATGACAGCAAAGATCTTTCTGACAAACTATAATTTCCTGAGACTCCTATGAGTTCCAAGGAGATGAATTTTAAAGACAGTGCCCTGAAATTCCTGGTTTCCCATTGAGAGTGCTCCTATACCACTGGCATAAGAAGTCCAATCCACCACAACTGGGTGGTATGGGTGGGAATCCAATAGTGAGAACAGGAGTTTTCCCTCCTTTGTCTTCATACCGTAATGAATTGCTTTTGGAGAATCAGGTGCATAGATGCCACTTCCTGGAAGCAATAAGTTGGAAATGACATTTGGAACAGAAAAGTGAAAAGGGATCCCATAGTTATTATTTTAAACTTATACCTCACATTAATAATTTACTCTAAGGTGTATATTTCATTAATTTCAGTGAAATATGCTAAGGACAATAAAAAGGATAACAAATCATGACACCAAAAAGCCAAGAAGAATTTCCAGTAAGAAGTGGTGAATTTTGAAATAAAAAAAGAAAAAGGTGTTCAATCAAGTTGAATAAAACTAAATAAATCTCAAAACAACTTACATGAAAATTGAGTCTACAGCATGTCACCAGCTAGATGCACAAAAATTAAAAGTGAAAAATATTGCATTAAGTAGCACATATTAGTTAGAAAAAAAGCTTCTCTTTTCCTTTTAGGATTACATCAAGCCTATAAACCTTAATGATTACACAATACCTGGAATTTTACTGGAGAGGTGATATGCATTGGATGCAAGGAGACTGACCCCCATGCTCAACGCCCAAGCTGAGTGGAATTCACAAGCTGAAAAATGTGGCTGAATATTCACCCAGTTTGAGGAGAACAACATGGTGTCCACGAAGAAATCCCTCACCAGGGTAACAGCAGGATTGTGGAAATGCCACGTGAAAATGCCCAAGTTTCCAGAAGTGGTGTTGAAAGTCACAACTTCAGGCTCCTTCAGTATATTGAATAATTGCTCTTCACCCTAAAAAGGCTTTGCTGCAATAAACAGAGGATGATGGGAGGAGAAATCTCTTTTAAGAAGGTGATCTGGATGTCACTGTGTCTAAAAAAGTACAAGCTCACATCGATTCAGCAGTGCTAATTTCATCTAGGACCACTGGCTTCATCAGAAAAGTGTTACAGAATCTGAGATTGCTATAGCTAACAGGAACCCTTTAGTTCAATCTCCACATTTTATAGATATGTACAAGGAAATCCATACCTGCTAAGACCTTCCTGAATCTTACAAGACATAGGAGTAAACTAGATAATGTCTATTTGCCAAGAACACTTAACTATTTTCTGTGGGCTGAGGACTTTCTTTGCTCCTTTCTCATCAAAACCAAGTTTATTGTAAGGAGGTTTTTATTCTAGGCTTGGCCCTTTGCCAGAGCATGTCTTTCAAAGGATGAAGTCCAGATAGGTCCTCCTGATTCTCACACATACCCAACAACAGTTTCCGGTAAACCTCTTGAGCCTCTTTATAGAAGCTTTCCACACCTAATTATTACTTCTTATGTTTTGTCTCTACTCAGCTTCTAAAGTATGCTTATTATTACCAACTATAAGGAATTTTCCCTCTTGCACCCTCTATTCTGTTATGCATTCAGTAATTGGATTGACTATTTGCAAATTAAATCTACCTTATGGTAGCGTGCCACCAGTTTTCCTTGAGAGTCAAACACCACGTCAGTGTTGTATTGGTAACGGCCATCAGAGGGACACTCAGAGTCACAGGCATTTCATGGCTCCTTGTCCCCAGTATTTGCCACAGTGTAGATAGGGTTGTCTTTGGCCAGGCAGCTGAGTCTTTCTCACACTTGGGCGTGGCCAAATCTGGTATGTGTTATTTGAAGAGGAAAAAATAAACCCAGCTTTTAACAAAATTCAGAATGATAGCGGCCTGAACCTATTATGTAATATACACATGCAAAAAATTCTGAATAACATAAATAAAAGGGAAGGATTAAAACAAAAAGAGGCTTCAGAAGAAGTACACACTTGTGGGAATTCAGATGTAGGAAACTATTCTAGAGTAAGATTCCAGACCATGAATTTTTTCTTCATTGCATTTATCGTCATCTATAATCATATATTCATTTATGTGTTAATCATATAGTGTATGTCCCATCTTGTAGACATTATGGGGCAAATACACATATCTCCTGTTCACTGAACCCATGCCTGACAGCAAAGTGGGCACCCTTGACTTGTTCATGATCTTGGAGAGAAAGTTTCAACCTTTCACTGTTGAGTATGATGTCGGGTGTGGGCTGGTCACATGGTCTTTATTACATTGAGGTATGTTCCTTCCATATGCACTTTGTTGAGAGTTTTTAATCATCAAAATGTTGACTTTTGTCCAATGCTTTTTCTGTGTATATTGAGATGGTGATATAATTTTTATCTTTCATTCTATTAATGATGTAGTACATTTTTTTATTGTTTATGTTCAACCACCATTGCACCCCAGGGATAGCCCCCATGTTGCACAGTCTATGATCCTTTTCACATGCTGTTGAGTCTGGTTTGCCGGTATTTTGTTAAACATTTTTTGTATCTGTATTCATCAGAGATAGTGATCTGTAGTTTTTCTTTCTTGTGGTACTCTCATCTAACTTTGTTATCAGAGTAATGCTATCCTCATAAAATGAGTTTGGAAGTGTTCCCTCCTCTTCAGTTTTTGTAAGGTTTTGATATAGATTGGCATTAATTCTTCTTTAAATGTTTGGTAGTATTTGTCTGTGAAGCCACTTGGTCCTGTACTGTTCTTTTTGGGGAGGTTTTTGATTACTTATTCAATCTCCTTACTCATTGTTGGTCTTTTCTGATTTTCCATTTCTCATGATTTAGTCTTGGCAGGTTGTCCATATCTAGGAATTCATACATTTCTTCTAAATTGTACAATTTGTTGGCATATGATTGTTCATAGTAGTCTCTTATGATGCTGTGTATTTCTGTATTATTTGTTGTGATATCTCCACTTTAATAACTAAAAATGTAGAATGCGTCAGTAATCCACATCATCTTTGTGCAGGGGCCATGCTAATCTTCTGCACATCATTCCAGTTTTAGTATGTGCTGCCCAGGCAAGCACAGGAGGAGTTGCTGCTTAATGGGTATAGAGTTTGAGTTTTGTTGGATAAGGAGTTTTTCAGGTGAGTGATGGTAATGGTTGTACAGCAATATGAATGTAATTAATACCATCGGCTATACATTCAAGAATGGTTAAGGTGATAAGTTTTTATGTTATACATATATTAGCACAATATAAAATTGAGGGGAAAAAACTTTTGGAGGTAAGAAAAAAGGAATCTTACTCAAGAAACTAGTGAATCTTTAGGAAAGAAAAGGGCAAGGAAAATTTAAAAGATACATTTGGGGTCATAGGAGATAGAGTTCTGCACAAGGGGCCAAGAACCTGTTCAAAATTTCATAGACAAGGAAGTACCATTTATAAAGCTTTCAGGACAGAATGAATTTTCTTTATCATCAATAGAACATCACAGTATAGAGTGTACTAGAATGTTCAGAGGCTAAATGTAGGGAAATCATTAGGAAGCTGTTTCAATAGTTCACATTAGAGGCAACGGGAGCTGGGCTAGGAGAGTGCCAGCCAATATGGAGAGACAGGAATGTGGGGACATTTGTTAATGCTTGAGTTCTTTATTTTTATCATATTACCAGTAGTTGTCCCAGAAAAGCAATTTAAAGGCAGTTTGGAAAAGTGGGAGACTCCGAATGTGTAATAGCTAACCATATTTATCTTGTACTGGCACAACATTAAATAATAATAATAATAATAATAATAATAATAATAAATAGTACTGGATTAGTGAATAGCCGAGAAAGCTAGGATAACTGTTGAATGAATGAAAATGTGGTGCCATCTTCTGGCAATAGTAATAAAAGCTTTCTTAGTGTTTCAAATCTAGATCATTAAATCTGCAGATTGGTACAAAACCATAGCAATCATCTACAAAACATATCTTTGTAAAAGAGAAAGAAAAATGCAAAACACATCTAAAAATTATTTTAATGCATTTATGTAAGTGATCATTTGATAGTTTTTCCCCTCATTTGCTTCAGTTATATACGAAATGCACAGATGTAAATACAACACATTGAACCACTTGAAACATATTTACCCCAAGTCTTTCCAGGTGACCTGAAGTGGTAGAATAGGTACATGAAATTGAAGCCTGGTGTTTTGTGTATCTGAAACAGTCCTGATTATATATTTTCCTCCTGTCCCTATTATTCCTAAAAGTTCTTCATATATTCTACTATATTTCTGTTTAAATTATACTTCTCAGACTATTTGCTATAGCCAAAAAAAAAAAAATCTCCAAAACTTCCTTGTTAAATCACATGGCCTGATTTGGAGTGTAAAAATGCACTTTGTTAATATGAGCCTGAATTCTGCCTGTCATTTAAACCATAATGTTTGCAGAATCCTTAATGTTGCAGAGAGCTCTGTCTTAGTGCTATTGGGAGCAGAAGAAAGAAGTGAAACAGAACAATTAAAATGTATTTCCTAAGACCTGTTTCAAAGTATTCAATTTCAAAGTATAATACAACAAAAATTATTAATTGCTGAAGAAGACACTATTTTATAGTAAGTGTCCATTAAACATTCGACAAATATTTGCTGAATTCTTCTTACCATATAAAGCACCATGCTGGGCATGTGAGCATCCGAGGAAAGGACATCCTGGGCAGAGCTGTCCCAGCACACAGTGTGGGAGGTGCTGAAGTGGAAGATACAGTGGGTGCACTTCAAAGTCAGTTCGTCTCACCGGAGAAGCCATGCGTGCACAGAACCCTGAACTAACAGTACAAACGATATAAAATCAGATATCAAAATGCTTTTTCATACAACTCAGCTAATTAAGAAAGCCTTTGTTTGTTAACTTACTGAACTAAGGATTGATTCCTTAATCTTTAAGCCAGATCACGTTGATCATAGGCACAGCCATTCTTGGTATTAAAGGACGCTCCTGCGCTCACTTCAGCAGCACAGACACTAAAACTGAGACGGCACAGAGATTAGCATGGCCCTGCACAAGGATGACACACAAATTTGTGAAGTGTTCCATATTTAAAACAAACAAATAAATCTCCTTATGTGAGAATCCTTATACATGCCCACAATGGCAATCCTGGTACATAAGAAATAGTCGATGAAAAAATGTGAATAAGTAAATTCACCTTTGAGTTGGGTTACTGGACATGGGTTGCCTCTCAAGAAATCTGTAAGCTCTCTTCTGTGAGACCATGCAGGTTTTGGCGCCAGACTGTTTCTCTCTAGGCCTCTCAGGAACTGTCAGGACTATCCTGGTGTCCAGTTGTACCTGTCAGCCCACCACCATGGGGCCTCGTAACAACTATGGCCTCTGCCTTATTCAGGTGACTTCCAGTTGGTTTTCGTATCTAAACTGTCCTATTCTTTAGTTTTATAAGATTTAGCAAAAAACCTCAAATGCTTCTGGAAGCATGGGGAGTATAAACATTAAATAAATAAATAAAAGAAAAAGGAACCTGATAAGGACTTGTTCCCATACAGCCAGGCTACCTGGTGGTATAGGCATCAGAACAGGTTCGTGAGTGTGAGAGGAGAAAGCAATGGACTCAAGGGATATTTCGTCCATGTGGATCTTAGGCAATGAGCTTCCACAAGAGTTTTCCAAGTGAAGCAAGCTCATGTTCATGATTGAATATTTCAGTCTTTCTTTTTACCTGTTGGGATGATTGCAAGGGGTCCAGTTCACGTAAGAGCCTGGGATATCCTCCAGGTGTGGGCAGATAGATCACCTTTTCAGGTTATGCCATAAATACCATATTCGGAGTCACAGTAACATGTGCAACCTGTTAAAAATGCAGCTTAATTAAAATATTTCTCAAATAAGCAAACAATCAAAGAGGGGCTGGCAAGAGGACCCGCAGAACTGAGTGGCTGAGGAACAACCATTCTGAGTGTTTTTCCCTGTCAGCCTGATTTCTTTGTTTTCTTTATTTTTATAATTTACTTTCTTTGTCCACTCACTTTCATTTTCCAGTCCTGGTGTCATCCTTTACATTTATACATTTTTTTCATCTTTTCCTAAACATGAGTAGCTTTCCAGGCCACTCACAAGTTTGCCATTTCCTGCAGTTGCAGACTATAAACCTAGCTCTTCCTCCAAACACCCTCTACCCTCAACTTAGACAGATTGTTGTGCCTGAGTGTGTGGGATTAATTTAGTGCTCAAACTGTTACACTTCTCCTTTGCTGCAGCCTTTCCTGCTCCACCTGCTGCAAACGTGATTCCTGCTTCTCAGGAGTAGGGGACCTAGAGATGCAACCTCAGCTAACCCAGACGCCTCTGGGTGGGAGAGTCACCCTGAAGGCTGAGGTGTGCACACAGAAAAACGTATATTGATAGATATATATTATATGTATGTACCCTTGACTTTCATGACACTTTATATATCCCTCGTCCCTGCCTGATTTATGAATATCTCATTTAAACCATATTTGTTCAAAACACATATTTAAACTTAAGCCTTCATTTAACTCAAGGACTTACTAAGCATTAACATATATACTTTTTACAAGTTGTTAGTTACAGAATAGTCTTGAGATGTATTTCACAGCACAGGGAATGTGGTCAACAATATTGTGATAACGTGTGGGGCCAAGTGCGCATGTGAAATATCGAGGGGGACCATCCTGTGTAGGACATGACTTTCTAACCACTGTGCTGTACATCTGAAACTAACACAGAATAATACTGAATGTAAATGGTAATTGCAAAATAAAAAAATAATTAAAAATAAAAGCATATATACTTTTATCTGTAATTAAAATGAAGGATGAAATACAAAGTATACAATACACACTGTTAAGTCATTTGCAACTTCAGTTTGTTTTGGTGTTATAAACTAACCCCTAAACCTGCACACTCTTAAGAAAAGTACAGCAAGGCCACTAATACTCTAAAAATAGCACCTGGCCTCTGACCTTCTTATCTTCCACCCTCATCTGCAGCAGAAAAGAGCAACAAAGTTGTTGAATTTATAGCAAGTTCCTCAAAGATCTGCTGCCCCTGAATGATAAACAGCTATTCTTTTTTAACTTTGTTTCACTATTAAGGAAGTAATAGTGTCCTTTCTCTAATACTTCAGTGAAGGAGGTAGGAGTCGGATTTAAAACAAAAGTTCTTGGCTACCCTGACGTATATCTTCACGTATCTTAACACATATTTGATTACAGATGAAACTGACCCTGACAGTGACCTTGTCTCTTGAGACCCTACTCTTTCACTTCAGAGAAGCCAGCACACCCAAGAAGAGGTACCTGTTTGGCGTCTGCTGTGATTACTCTCTCCAAAACACCCAGATTCTGTTCGTAAATACCAGTGCCTCATCTTCATGGGCCATCCGTGTTTGGGTATCATAAGCAATAGCACTGCCAGCTCGTGAACAGCTGCAATAAAGGTGTCCAGGGAGCTGGCTTTTAAGACACAAAAAACTGAAATTGCCGCATGGGCCAGCAGCTGAGACACAATCATGCTGAGTCAAACAGAGCAAGTCCAGATATGTATAGAGGGAAGGTACAATAAATTGCACGGCTCTCAGAACTTAGTTCTTTAAAAAACAAATCACAACATCTAATGTTAAGAAAACATTATGGTTTTACATCACAGATGTAATGTGAATGAATTTTATGTAACATTCTTTATTGCATTCCTGAAGGCTGTGAGGTGAGGATTATTCAGGCTTCTCACTGTGTAGAATACGGTCCTCTCCCTGCACGTGAGCCCCAGGCCAAATTCCCGGTTTATAAAAACTCCAGTCATCGGACTCGATGCCCAGGCTGCTCCAGAATGACTTCGTCTTCAGTAATTTCATCAGAAACCATACTACTTCCAAATAAGGTAACATTTTACAGTATAGGTGTTTAGGACTTAGACATGAATTTTTAGAATTCATGTTTTAGAATTCATTTTTAGAACTTCAACACACAGCAGTATGTGCAAATAATTTGAAAGTGAATAGCTTCATAATTTTGAAATTATTATTACTATAATCATTTTTATTACTATAAAAATTACCTTAAAATTTAGTGGCTTTGAAAAGCAAGCAAGAATTATCTCACATTTCTTGTGAGCCAGGAATCCAGAGCCAGCCTAGGTAAGTGCCTCTTTCACAAGGCAGCAATCAGGCTGCCGGCCAGCGCTGCAGTGATCAGAGCTCGGTTGGGCGAGGATTCACTTCTACGCTCCAGGCTCACTCACAGGGCCGGCTGATGGCTAGCCTCAGGTCCCCATTGACTACTGCCCAGAGATGTGAACTCCTTGCTTCAGGCCTCGCTTACATCATTGTATCTGATTTCCCTCAGAACTAGAAAGCAAGAGAATCCACTGAAGACGGAAACCACATTCTTTTAGTTAATCTAACGGGGGAAGTGTCACCCCATCACTTCAGTTGTCTTCTATTCATTAAAAGCAAGTCAGCGGTTCCAGCCCCCACTTGATAAGAGGGGATGATGACACAGGATGTGAATGAGGCAGGAACCACTGGGGACTGTTTCAGAGGCTGCAGACGGTGGGGTTGACAGGGAGATATGGACAACAGCAGGAGGAACAAGGGTAAGAACTAAAGAGAGAAATGGACATTGAAGAGAAAATAATAGGAAAAAAGCTTATAGATTATGATATGGAAAAAGTAGGCAAATTTTGTTTCAGTTCCAAAGTAAGTATAATATTTTTTATATTTACAGAACTACTTACTGTTTATGATTATCCATTTTATTTCTAGATTTTATTTCAGATGGTGCTTTTATAGTTCAATTTGTAAATGGGCGTATCTGATTTTTTTACTTCAGTACTATAATAAATTTCTTCTGTGGCTACCAAAGTGACAAGAGGCTGTGGCTGCCCAGCGGACACCGGGTCCCTCTACTTGCTAACAACCTACTTTGGTTGTCCATTCCCAGGTGGGTGGGGATCCACATACTCCACAATGAGATGGAATTGTTACACAACGATCTATAAAAGGAAGCTCTTAAATAAAAGTTAAAACTGGAATGAGTTACCAAGAGATTAAAAAAATTGCTAGATGTTAAAAATATTTAATAAGAAACTCCCACTGGGTTTCCAGTCTGACCTAGAAAGGGCGTAGGAGTCACCTCTCCCATCTGCACACACACAAAAAAAGCTGAATGACTGAAAATTAATACATTTTCTTAGCTACAACAGAGAGTTGAGGTCACAGGACAAACCCCTACCCCCAAACTGGAGAGACAGGCTTACTTGTAGTGTAAATCAACCATTGGGGCCAGTACTGGTGTCAACAGAAAAAAAATTCCAAACCCGTAGAGAATTTTTCTGAGCCTATTTGAGCAAAAACTGACAATTGCCAGGAAGCAAAATCCCATGTTGTCTGGTGCATGACAGTTTTGCAATTGCCATTGAGAATTAAGGAAGGGCTGTAAGGGAAACTATGTGAAGGTAGGAGAAAGCAAGGCAGGGATTGGCTTACAATAGTTAACCAGATCATGTGCTCTCTTGAGGGTGGCTTTCACTGAGAGGTCTCAAAAGGGGTGTTTCAAAGGAGTGTTAACCTAGATTCATAGAACAATGGACAGGTCTGCTTAAAGTAAAGACTAACATTTTACTAAAGAAGTTATATTACATAGGTGTGACTACTCACCACAACCTGCCCAGTTAGGGCTTTGTGAGTGGATCTCCCTGTTAGGTTACTTTCCATAGTGCCCCTTTTCTTCCACACTGGGATGTCATTGACGAATTGCTAGAGGCTCAGTGTGGATCCACTTGAGAGTTAAAAATTAGGGGGATTCCAGTGTCAGGAAGGCTCTCGAACTTTTGTGGGTTTTACGTCTAAGAAGTCCAACAGATTCTCTGGGCAAACAACAGAGAAAACAAAACAAAACAAAACACAAAAATAATGCTTACTAAATAAGGGAGAGAAATAAACTCACTTTGAAATAATCCCTAAGTGTTTTGTTCTCCTTATCAAAAGCCTTCCCTCAATGGAAACTATCTACCAGGGCCTAACCAATCTGGAGAAGAGAAAAACCTCAAATCTAACCCTCCTGGCC